GGATGTCTCAGGATGCTAATGGGATGAAGATTGAAGCTTGAATCGACCTAAAACCCTGATTTCAGTATTTGAGTTTTATGAGAAATTTTCAATTTGCAATGGCTTGTTTATGCGCAGCTTGCAGTCTAATCTTTTTAGGTCTTTGATTCTGAGTATGTATAGAGCATGCTAGGTCAACAAAATTGCACAAAATCTCAAGCATTCATGGTTTTACATATTTGATTTTATGAAATCTTTTTCAATCTTTTCCATGTGCATTTTGGTTCAAATCTGATCAATTCTCATCAAAACTTGCTTAATTAAGGAGTGCACGAAATATTGACCTTGGAATGTGCATAAAAAGATTTTTTTAGGTTAGGTTTATATTTTTCATGTATTAAAATGATTTAAATGAATATAAATTAATATAAATTCAAATAAATAATTAAAAAATATGAAAATACTTCCCTTTGGGCCTAGTGGTCGTGCATAGGCTTGGCATGAAGAAATTTGGAAGAAAAATGGGCCCATTTGCATTTTTAGGCCTTTTGCATCAATGTTGACTTTTCAAAATTCCCAAAAATTTCCCAACTTCCACAAGGCATAACTTGGTCAATTTTTAAGCTTTTCACATGTTCTTGGACATTTTGGAAAGGTCTTTGAGTCCTTTAACCAATGCCTTTGGTCCCATGTCATTTTGATTTACCAATCTCAAGTTATGGCCTTTGACTTAAAGTCTCTTTTTGTTGACTTTTGAAAATGACCTATAATGTTGAAATTGATAACTTTTTGTGAGAGCATTTCTTGGACTTGGAATATGAAGATGAGTTGTAGGAAATGTCTTTCTCTTCAAAATGAGCTTTGGATGGAATTTTTCTGATAATCCATGTGAAAGTTATGCCTTGGTCAATTTCAGTTGACTTTTTCAGCTGTCCAAATATAGCAACTTTTGCATCTTTGATGATTTCTGAGCCAAATTTTGAGAATCATGATCAAGCATTGATCAAATGATGTTTGTGGCTTCAAAATGATATGTTGACCAAAAATTTGAACTTTTGACTGTCAAATGACCATTTTGCCCCTACAGTTGACTGTAGTGCAATTTAGGGTTTTGACTGTGCAATTTTGAGCTGAATGCCTTGAAACTTGACATGAGGATACTTGACCATCTTTGTAAGCATATGAGACTTGATTAGGCCTTTGAAAAGTTCTTTTTCTTGATCAGAACACAAACCCTAGTTTTGACTGTATAGGAGACAGTTGAACTGCATAGTCCTTGGGGAATTTTGTGACCTTGACTTTGACAATTCTTGATGAATATGGGAGGGCAAATTTTGGGGTACAACAGTGAGGTCTAAGTTCTTTCTGAGGGTACTTCCTCCAGATCCTGGAGATTGAGGGGAACATCTTTCAAAATTCAAATGTTAGGTCAAACCAATGCGAGACACGATCAAAAGGAGTTGGTTCAAAACAATTCAAACCATCCAATAGTACCTCTTCCAAATTGTGGAGATTGAGGGCATAATGTTTCAAAGTGCAAAATAGTGGGGTCATTTATATTATGATAAAACTATTTCCAAGCTCATATCAATGATAATTTCCTCTAAGACCCAACATATTCCACATATGGGCAAGCTCTCTGCGCACTTTCATAATCTCCAGTGGATCTTTCTCCTACATCAGCAATCTTCAAGTTCAAATTGAGTATCGGGAAATCATGATAGCATAACATTCAACCATCATGTGACAAGCAACCTTATTGCGTAGGAAAACCTCTGTGTTTTAATCATCCACGACCCATCATAGGGGCACCATTCAAAAAACCATTCGAGTCATAATCATAAAGCATAAGGCTGCATAAATCATACATTAGGACTCTTCGATCCGGAATTGAGATATACTTATCATCTCATCCATCTGACAAATTCTAACAGCACAGGTCGAGCATATCTTAAAAAAATCCCAATTACACATTTGCATTTCAAAGTCCAACATCCATTTACACATATCCAAGTCACTCATTACACGCATCAATCAATCATTACATTTCACGCACCAATCAAATATACATGCATAGCATAAACCATGTTGCATGTGAAGACAATCATCATTGTCCATCAAGTTATTAATTCTACATCAAATCTCGATAATAGATTCCCCTGGTTAATCTCGGTAGATGATTATCTAGAATACCTCGGAAGAAGGTAATTCTACATTGAATCTCGATAGTAGATTCCCTTGGTTAATATTGGCAGTTAATTATCCAGAAGATCTCGGCGGAAGGTAGCTCACAATGAATCTCGGAAGTAGATTCCCCTAGTTAATCTCGGCATATGATTATCCAGAAGACCTCAGTGGAAGGTAGCTCACAACGAATCTCAGCAGTAGATTCCCCTAGTTAATCTCAGTAGATGATTATCTAGAAGACCTCAACAGAAGGTAGTTCATAATCGAATCTCGACATTAGATTCTCCTGGTTAATCTCGATAGATGATTATCCAGAAGACCTAGACAGAAGGTAGTTCACAATCAAATCTCGGCAGTAGATTCTCCTGGTTAATCTCGGCAGATGATTATCCAGAAGACCTCGGCAGAAGGTAGTTCACAATCGAATCTCGACAGTAGATTCCTTAGAAATCTTGGCAGTAGATTTCTCACTAAAAACCTCACATCAAGCATAACATACACATAACCAAATCGAAGTATCAAGGTCATTCATGACATTTGAGGCATATACAAGCACTTGGGGCATACACATATGTTTGGGGCTTATACACATATAAGCATTTTGGCACATGAGCATTTAAAACATTTGGGGCATACATCACACTTGGATAGCACATCAACTTAGGGCATTGTGCATACATGGTATCTTGCAAAACCACTTTGGTTAAATTTACGAATTTTCTTGGGGTCCATTGTTAGCAAGCTTATCTGTGCGAACTAACTAGTTTAAACTTTAAGCGATTTGGGGTTTATTTCTTTATGATTGATAGTCTTGGTTGAGGGCTGACACAACTGACATCATCGATGAATTTGGGGTTTATTTCTTCATGATTGATAGTCTTGATTGAGGTCTGATACAACCGACATTATCGATGAATTTGGGGTTTATTTTCTTCATGTTGATAGTCTTGATTGAGGGATGACACAACCTACATCCTCGATGAATTTGGCTTATTTTGGTTGGTATTCTGTCATGAACAAGTTTTGTTATTTTGTGTATGTATCATGTTAACTTACCTTGTAAAAACAAGCTAATGAATCTAATGAAGTTGTTATTTTGATTATGAGTTATGATTCCATTTATGTTACTTTGCTGAATCCACCAGTTATATTCATTACAAGGTTAAGAAAAAACAACATCTTCATTTTATTTCAAACCAACAAATACACTCAGGTCATTGCAACAACTGTCAACACTAATCCTAAGTTGACAACAAAAACTTAAGCCCAAGTTTATACCAATTGAAAACAATACTTCATTATAGTTGATAGCACTAATCCTATTGCCAAAACAAATGTTATTGAAACAAAGAATTTCATCATTAAGTTCATTGAATTCAACTTTGTCTTCACTTCAGCTACTTTAATATTAGTTGCATCCACTTTTTCCCTTTCTTGATCCAGCTTTTTTTTTGTAGTAAAGTGATAATCTCCTTAGCTCTTGAAGACATTTCATCATCATACCAAACAAAATGGCTACACCTTTTATAACCCTGTACCTGTAAGTCAAACAACACAAATGAATGAATCTACGCCCAAACACAGAATACCCACACTCAAAAAAACCTATAAATAAGACATGGACATCACCTTATACATCCCACATCCAAAAAAAACGTCGACCTGGGTTGGAATTGGTCGATGAAGTCATCAACGGAGCTTCAATCCCACACTTACACTCGCTTTGAAAATGAGCAGAACACGTAGCTCCAACACTATTAACTTTTGTGCATTGAGACATCTTCAACACACGATATCTATTTATTCACTATATTCACTTTTACAATATCTATTTATATTCTGATTTGATATAGCACTATTGCATATTATCTTAAACTAAATTCAAAAGTCCTCCCATTAATTAAATACATGCAATTGGAGTTTATTTCCTAACAATCACAAATAAATATAAAAATGAAATCATATGATAGGAGATGCAATTAGATGTTTTAATTAATAATATAATTATATTAATTTTTATTTTAATTTGAGTGTTGTTGAATTCGATTTTTATTAATATTTGGGTCTTTAAGTTTATTACCCATTAGAATTATTATATATTATAGTCACATTGAGACATTAAGAATCAATCAATGAAATGCCATAACAATATTGTTGTAAATGTATTTCAATTTAAATTTGGGTGACACTGTGACCACCATTACCACCATGTGAGACCATGAGCTTTCATTGTGTTTGCTGTCACTATCATTTTCTCCTCTTTCAAAGTTCCATTAGCTCGGAAAGTTTTTTCTATTAAAAGAATTCACCAATATGTATCTCCTACTCTGTAAAAATTCCAAAACTGCAACTCCATTTAATAGGAATGAGATCGAAATGAAAGTACCAATTTATAAGAAGTTTCATATAAAAGCTATGAAATTAAAATTTCTACACTAAAAGAGAAGAACGCTAAAATGACAAAGAAAAAAAAATAAAAGATAATTTTTAATTTCATTAATTGATTCATAATATCTCAATGAGACTACAATATATAATATTTTGAATGAGTAAAAAACTTAAAGACTCAAATATTAATAAAAAGACAATTCAACGACACTCAAATTAAAATTAGAATTAACATAATTATATTACAAATACAAAACAACTCATCCACATCGGTTACATAATAGGTTGAGAGAGGACTATGATAATATAATAAGTCAACAACGACCATAATATTTTAAAGAAAATTAAATTTAGGAGACTTGAGATTTCCATCTCTTTATATAATACATGAAAAACATGGCTCAAAAACACAACAAATTAGCAACAAGTTAAGTAAGCCAAATAAAATGGCCTCTGAATTAGTAGTCTACACCGATGAGAATAAAATGGGCTCTAAATTAGTAGTCTACACCGATGAGAAATGGGTAATAGATATTTGCAAAAACCTATTACATGAAGTGGAACAAAACACACATGATGAAATCATAGTAAGTGTGTCACAAGTCCCCAAATCTTTAAGATCCTCAAATCCAGAAGCTTTCACCCCTCAATTTGTAGGACTTGGTCCTTATCACCATCACAAACCTGATCTCATCATGAATGATAAATTGAAATTAGGTTCATCCAAAAGAGCTCTCAAACACCTCTTTAACCACTTTGACACCGAAACACTCCAACTTCGTCTTGAATCAATTCTCTCACACTCACATATCCAAGCTTTCTACCACATTGATGTAGCTTCCAAATACACTTATCAAACCCTCCTATACTTACTCACTATTGATGGCTTATTCTTGTTGGGTTTATTGCATAGAGCTTTAACAATAAAACCTCAACAAGATCAACAATGCTCTCACTTCTTAACCGGAAAACATGGTATTTCCGTGGTCAACTCTGCTGGTGTAGAGTTGACCATGAATTTTATCGTAAGAGATGTTTTTATGCTTGAGAATCAAATTCCAACTCATTTTCTTAAGCAAGTCCACGAAGCCGTTGTCACCATAACTAGTGATGAAATTGAATCATCTCTAGAAAGGGAAGCTTATCAAAATCTTGGACCATCCATGAGGTTATTTTGTGAATCACTCTGTCCATTTGTTCATGAATTTCAAGTCATCAAAAATCCTGAAGATCATGCACATTTGTTGGATCTAATGTATCAATTGATTGTACCAAATCCTTCTGATGATGAACAACCTCCTGAGTCTGATTTTAAACCCAAACCCAATTCCGAGCCCGAGCCACAGTCTGAATCCGAGTCTAAGTCCAAACCACAATCTAAGCTTGAGTCACAATCTACACCCAAACCTCCCTCCGAGTCTGAGTCTGAGTCTGAGTCTGAGTCTAAGTCCAAACCTCAATCTAATCTTGAGTCAGAATCTATGTCCAAGCCTCAACCCGAGTCTGTGACTAAGACCAAATCCGAATCTGAATCTCAAACTCAATCTAATGATAAAAAAGAAACAAGTTTTACATGTTGTTCTGCTTGCATCACTTTTCTTGCAGTTTTTGTCGCTATTTTTATTATAATAGGTTTTATTATAAAGTTCATTTTCACCGTATTTTTTTGGATATTGAAAACTTTATTTCGTTTCATTAAATGGGCATTACGCCCATTAGTGAAACTACTCAATTTCATTAACCCTTTTGTCGAGGTGATATATGATTTTTTATTAAAGAACGAAACTAAATTTTCCTACGTAAAACCGTGGACAAAAATCGTCGGAGAAATTAAGAAAACAAGTGAAAACATTATAAAAGAGGATTACTCAACAAATTGGGACAACAACATTTCAAATGTAACCATCCCATCTGTAACAGAACTTCACAATGCTGAAATCAAATTCCAACCATCAGATAAAGGTGGAAACGGGCTCTCATCCATTGATTTCGATGAAATTAAGTGTCAATTTAAGTTGCCAATTATCAAATTAGATGTGAATTCAGAAGTAATCATAAGAAACCTTATGGCTTATGAATCATTGATTAAATCCGAAGGGTTAATTTTCACAAGGTACATTGAATTAATGAGAGCTTTAATAAATTCTACTGAGGATGTGAAACTATTGATTAATGAGAAAATCATTGAAACTGAGATGAGTTATGAAGCTGTTGCACAACTTTTTAACGGGTTGTTGGGAAAATCTATTAGGCCAATAAAGGTTCAAAATTTGGATCAAGTGATTAAAAGGGTGAATGCTAAATTCAAAAGTTCTCAAGCTCAAAAAATGGCCATGATTAAGTATATGTCTTCTTATGGAAAAATGTTGACAGGTTTGGCAGCTATTGTGTTTTTGGTTTTGACTGCCGTGCAAACATATTGCTCTGCTTTTGGTTGTGCTGGTAACTCAAATTATAAGGGGTCATCATCAATGCATCAAGATGGGGAATATGTTACAAATGCTAATCATCTTTTTATGAGTTCAATGTAAGTTTTAGTTCTTGCTCTTTTTTAAGTTCTTAATAAAAAAGTGTGTGTGATTTTAGTCAGTCTTTGATTGTTAAAGAAAAGTGTACTACAGTGTGTTAATATGTGTTAAAGTGAGAGAGAACTTTGTTCATCTTCTTCATTAGTATTTGAATATGGAATATACAATTGTTAGTTGGGTTAAGTGTGCAAGCTGTTGGTTCAAGGTTAAATTTCGGACAACAATATTTATTTGTATTTTCTTTCAAAATATAAACATGTTATTTATATTTATAAATCAACAAATTAAAAAGAAAAGAATATGAAATATGCGTGAAGCTTATATATAGTATCTTTCATGCATGACGATAGAATGGTTAGTTGGAGTTAGTTAGAGACTCCTAAGTAACTATTATACTTCTAACCACTTAGTTGCTAGTGTATATTATACCACACTATTACATTCTCATATATCTCCAATATCCTCCCTCAAGATTATGATAGGTTGACTGGAACAATTTTGAGCTTGCTTTTGAAGTCATAAAATGTTGTATGTGAGAGAGGTTTGGTGAGCACATCAACAACTTGAGTTGTGCCTGGATCATGCTGGATATGAAGCTTGTGATACGTTGCTCTTTCTCTTACAAAATGAATGTCAAGTTCGATATGCTTAGTTCTTGCGTGTAACACCAGATTATGAGCAACCACTACTGCACTTATATTGTCACAAAGCAGTGTAGGCACCTGATATGTGACATTAAGTTCAGACAACAAAGATTTGATCCATAACAAGTCTCCAGTTGTATGCGCAAGTGCTCCATACTCGGCTTATGTGCTTTAGCGTGCAACAAGAGATTGCTTCTTAGAACTCCATGATATTAGATTATGACCAAGATAAATACATGATCCTAATGTTAAGTGGCTGTCGTCTAGATCGTTGGCCCAATCCTAATCACTATAAGCTCAAATGTTCATGGGAGATGCAGGAGCAGTTGGTTGCATACGTAAACCATGTTGTGTTGTGTTAGTTAGATACCTTAAAATGCGTTTTACAGCACTCTAGTGGGACTCTAATGGATTAGACATGAATTGGCATGTTTTGTTCATGGTGAAAGCAATATCTGGTCGTGTAAGAGTCATGTATTGTAGGGCACCAACTGTGGATCTATAAAGGGAGGGATTAGTCATGACATTTGTATCATGTTTACTGAGTTTATATTGACTGAACATAAGAGTATTAACCCCTTTTTTTTCTTCAGAGATGTTAACCTTAGCAAGAAGATCCCTTACGTACTTAGCATGTGTAAGGATCATGGCTCCACCTGGTTCATCATGTACCTCAAGCATTAAGAAGTACTTTGGCTTGCCCAGCTTCTTAAGTGCAAATTATTGATGTAGTTTTGTGATGAGCTCGTGAATCAGTTTAGTGGATGTGCTTGTGATTAGTATGTCATTAACATACACTAGTGTCACTATGCCAAACAAGGGATTAGACAGCGCTTTTTAAGGCATTTAACAGCGCTTAAAAGCGCTGCTAAAACCTCAGTTGCTAAAGGTATAAACAGCGCTTATGTAATTTCAAAAGCGCTGCTGTAGGTACCGCCTTTAGCAGCGCTTACACTTTAGACAGCGCTTGGTAAAAGCGCTGTATATTCCCCCCTTTAGCAGCGCTTTTCCTTATTATTTTTTAATTTTTTTTTCAATCACTTTAGACAGCGCTTTCATTAAAAGCGCTGTCTATTCCCCCCCCCCCCCCTCCCCCCCCCCATTTAGCAGCGCTTTTCCTTATTATGTTTTAATATATATTTTTTTCAATCACTTTAGACAGTGCTTTCATTAAAAGCGTTGTCTATCCCCCCCCCCCCCCCTTTAGCAGCGCTTTTCCTTATTATTTTTTAATTTTTTTTTCAATCACTTTAGACAGCGCTTTCATTAAAAGCGCTGTCTATTCCCCCCTCCCCCCCTTTAGCAGCGCTTTTCCTTATTATTTTTTTAATATAATTTTTTTCTAACACTTTAGACAGCGTTTCTCATTAAAAGCGTTGTCTATTCCCCCCCCCCCCCCCCCCCCCCTTTAGCAACGCTTTTCCTTACTATTTGTTTAAATATAATTTTTTTTTCATTTAAAACAAAACGCTGCCTATCAAATTTAATCTCACCATTTTTGCACCAGAATTTATAGCTTCGTTATAACATTTTAAACAACAACAACATCAATATACCACAATGAAACAATATTATAACAACATCAATATTCATCTCTTCAATCCTTTTTGCACAATATACACAACAACAACATTAGTATATACAACAATGAATTACAAAATAACTCTATCTTCTACATCGAGCTGCACCTATATAACCTAAAACAAAATCAAAAAATCAAAATTCATACAAGTTACCAAATAACAACAACAAAAACAATAATATTGTAACACAACTATAATGACATATATTATATTCTAAAAACTCAAAGTTATACCTTATAATAAAACTCTCAACTCCATAACAAATTGGCACCAATCCTCCATAAGTTCATCCAATTGATCTTTTGAGTATGAAGCATACTTGAATTCATCAAAGTACTACATAATAATATAACATAGTATGATTTAATTAAAATACTAAGTCATTTTATGAGAAATATTAAAATAATTCCTAAGTTAGAAATTCATATCGTGGATGGAATCTCTAATCGGTCCAAAAGAATAGTTTCTTTCATAAACCTCAACATAAAATAACCGCAATCTACACCATTGCGCTGACGAGGACACTACACATGGAAAGAAAATACGGATATACATCAAGATATGCCCCTTAACTTGTTTTATCAAGTATCATCGCTATATAATCAAAATTGTGAAAATCTATACCTCCACTTTGATCCAAGAAATATTGTTGACTTTACTCCTTGGTACTTGAATATCTCTTTGTGCTCGAAAACTTTGTAGAATGCTATAATAAAATAATAACGAATATTTAGAACTATCGCACATAAATAATTAAATATACACAGTAATATTTTGGAACAATCTCACTTACGTTTCAATCGTCTTCTTCATATCTGGGTATGTTGTTCAATCATTGCCCAATGAATCCAGATAATATACAATTTCTCTCACAGGATTAATTGCAACCAATAACCAGTGTCCACTGGAATATTAAACAAAGGTTAGATGGAAATTTTCTGCACAACGTTAAAAAACGAAAAATTATAATAGAGGAAATTTAGAATGAAAATCTTACTTGGGACCAGTATTATATGGTAAAAAGAACAATTTTTCTGTATCTTTGCTGACCGTAAATAAACTGAGCACAAATGCTATTACTTCATCTGGTTTTGAGATGATTGACCCTGCGTGGACAACGTTGGGATTTATGAAAGCGAATCTGGACTCTAATCCACGCGGGCGAATCAACTTGTCATACAGAAACCTTAAATAAAAACATCATTAACATTAATTATTTATTGAAATGAGTAAATAAATTCTGCAATTAATTAAATAAAGTTGATTGGAGTATACCTGATGTATGTATTGATAACATCCATGTCTAATGTCAAGTGTCCAAAAACTTCTTCCAAATCCTCCTTACCAATTGTTGTCATGCCTTCAGAACCATAAATCCCTTCATCCAGGGGTATAAGAGAAGTACCACCTTGCGAAATAGTTGTGAAGCTTATATATGTCTAAAGGAACGACCTATATTGTGGAGTAGTTTTCTTTCTATCCCCGGTCCTCTTAGCAACACTCTTTGTTTCTGTGGGAATGTTGCTAATTACAGGCTCCTTACCCCTACTTAAAGCTTCAATATCTTTAGTAGGAATAATCTAAATATCATAAAATTAGAGTGGTCAAGTATAGGACGACAAATTAACATTATCTAAGCATAAATATCATATAATTGTGTTGTACCTGTTTTTTTGCTGTTACTGACTCCTTTGGCCGCGTAATCCCTTTATCTTTTGGTTTGGATTTTGTAGGAGTCTAACATTACCATGCAAAAAAAATGTAAGTAAAACGAACGTAAAAAATTTGAGTACTAAAAGGTTCATAACAGTTTTAATTATACCTCATCATCTATGCGAACGAATCTTGACGGCCATGCAACAAACGCTCCTATTGCCTCTCCCACCAATGTTGCATCCGAAACTTCATTTGGGATTGGTAATAACGCACCCTCCTCTAAAGCAATATCAATCGACACTTTCAAATATCCAGAAGGGAGCGTTTATGATGAAGTACTTCTCCCAGAGTGTTATGGACTTTTCCCTTGCCAACCATGCGATAAGTTGGTGTCTCTAAAAAGAGTTGACAAGGTGAAATGCCCTAAAATCAATAATAAATATGACATCGTTAATGTGTATATATGCCAGTTAAATAAATTACACTAATTTAATTTCATAATAATATATGTAAGTACCTCGGGAATACTCGGTTGAGCTGCACAATTGACACTAGCTATGTGTAATACGGTGGGAGAACTGACTGTGGTTTTGTGTTTGTATTCGCAAATGTTTCGGTTGAGCAAGAGTCGCCACCGACTTTTTATTTTATCCTAAGGAAAGGTTTAAAAAGCACAGCAAAAACCTTTGAGATGTTTTCTTGGATTCGGGGAGTAGATTATAGAAAGGGAAGGTATTAGCACCCTTTCTATCCATGGTTATCCATGGGCTCTTAGGTACTTGCTTAGATCAACTTGCCTTGGTTTTCAATTGTTTGAAATGGTGCTTTGTGTGTGGTTTTGAAAATGTTTTGAAAAAGATGTCTTGTCTAGGCTACCCTTGTAACAATTCTTTACTCGAATGTTTTACAAAAGGTGTTTGTCTTTTTTGAAAAGATGTTTCAAGGTTTTTGAAAGTTGTTTTGAAAAGTGTTTGTGAAGTGTGGTTTGAAAAAATAGGCAAGTGTTTTGGTTTTGCAAGTTGACAAGTACTTAAGAGTCATCTACCCTAAAGTTCTCAAAGATTTTTTTTGCTACGTTTTAACCCTTTTAACAATTTTGTTCCACCATTGCATTTGGTGG